CAAAACCATGTTAATCAAATGTCACATGCTATTCACTACAGGAGTTAAAAGCTAAAGATGATCAGTATGTCAAAGATTTGAAGAAACAAGCTGAGGATATTGATCTGATGATTGAACGTATGGAAGAACAAGTGAAAAATTTAACAAGATCATATAGAGAAGAACTCAATCAAATTGAGGTATGTTATTGTCTGATTTCATTACTTGATTTAGTTCTCATTTAGTGTTCCCCACATTTCTAATTTCTATTTAATTATCATATCTGTGTATATCACTGACTTTCATGAATTTCCGATGACTCTGTCAAATATTCTTGAATAGAGGTTTGATTTCATAGTGACTATATTAGAATACTGTAACCAAGGTTAAATCACTGTCAGTGACAATGTTTTATCACAGTTTGACCATGAGAAAATGACCATGATAGATCATGGAAAAATCATGAATTGTCTATTGAAAGTGGTCAGATTGTAGTCTGTCATGATCAAATCATAGTCAGTGATTGATAGTTGTATTATTTATTGGTCAATATAAAATCATTCATTTTGGGTCATGGTAAATTTCTCAAACTTTTGCATTAATTGCACGTAAAATTGTTATATTATTTATATTTGCATATACAGTTTATGTCAACTCCGGCAATGTAACAGTGTAGTTGCACATATGTAGGTCTTTTATAATTAATTTCATTGCCCAATGTTCTGTTCATCCATCAAACTCAGAGCCACATACATATGTACCAGTTAATGTTGTTGGCCATATTCACAATCTGAATGTTTTGTTTAAATGATAGAAAAGCTTTGATGCTGAGAGGAATGATTTATTAGAGAGTAATAAAAAGAAATGGGAGCAAACAATGCAAGGAAGGAGAGATAAAGAAATTGATAATATGAAAGCACGAGAGAAGCGTGTGGATGATTATGAACAACAAATACAACATCTGAGAACACAAGATGCAGAGGAATATAATATGGTGAAGATCAAACTAGAAACTGATGTGCAGGTGA